CCATTTCAAACAAATCTCTTGGCTTTAGATGTACAACGACACTCCATTCTTTATCAGTCTCATCATCAACATAGTAGACAATATTTGCTTGTGATGCTTCAATATATGGATCATGATCCTCACGATCACCAGTGTGAATCAATTTAGAAAAATTGACACAGTTAAACTTCCAAGCATCTATTTTGTACCCTCTATTTCGAGTAGTATCAGCCCATAGACACTTGAAAAGAATAACTTTGAACCTGCCATAATAATTAAGCTCGATAATCTCTTCTAACTTTCCATAATATGGTAGGTCCGCTTGTCTTGCACACCTATCTACACTAGACGCAATACAAGAAGTGTCAGAGATGAGAAAAACTCCACTATTTTGAGTTTTTGATCCTTGTTCTCTAGATAAAGTTCGAAATTTGAATCCATTAATGTTATAAGCACTAAATCTTCTTGCATCTTGTGCAGGACCTTGTGCTAAAAACTTCATATCATCAGAGATAGTTTCTGCAATATCTGGGGTCATAATCTAAACAAACATAATATATCTGTCAGAGATACTAAATTGACAAATAAGTATGTTCAAAAAAAACATTCTAAAATTATTTACTCACTCGCTTAGGAAACCAATCAGGAAACTCTTTACTAACTCTCTTCTCTACCTCTGTTGTTGAAACTCTTCGACCTCTTGTACTTCTTTTGATGTGCTGTCTGAATTCACTACAAAATTGTTATATATATTAAATTTTTACCTGATTATTCTACACATTTCGTAAAAATCAAAATCAGTTTAAATTTCATACTCAATGAATGGCTTCACTGCTGCGCAATTAAGTAACACATATCGATGAGCTTGAGTTTTCTCTAAAGTAGTCAATGGTTCTGCTGTGGAGCCTCCAACAGGTTTACCTTGTTGTGGAAACATAGATGACTTTCCAGAAGCTTCATTATGATTTGGTTCATCGTTTACACGTTTAGGTCGATTCAACCTTGACTCAATTTCGTCAAAATAACGAGAGTAAAGAGTTAGAACTTCTTCAACCTTATGCCCCTCAGCTATTGAGCCTTCTGATTGAGATTTGTTCCGTACGAGAGACTTAAAATGACCTAACAATCTATGATCAAGCTAATGAAGTGTTAGAAAACTTATTTATATTTAAATTATATTCCAGATTCAATTCAATAATTTTGAATAAGAAATTTTTTACCTTTCAACAAAATACATCCAGCGATAATGTACAGGCCCACCTTGTTTTACTTCATCAACTAGATGGACAGTCAGATGAATCATTACAGTAAAAAATGAAGGGGGAAACAATATCTCTAGATGACTCAAGGTTTCTACAATTCGATTTTCTAGCTTTTCCAGCTCAGAGATGGTTAAGCTCTTCATACAAAGCTGCTTAAAAAAGGAAGAAAACTCTACCAGAGTTGCAACGACCTGATTTGGAAGAACATTGCGAATTGCTATCGGTAACAACTGTTGCATGAGGATATGACAATCATGACTCTTTAATCCAAAGATTCTTTTTTTATCCAAATCAATGCAACGAGATATATTACTTGCATAATTATCTGGCACTAAGATATTCTTTAAAGTCTTGAGGAAGGCCAATTTCTTCTTCTTTGGAATTGTAAATGCACCAAGCCGACATTCACCATTCTCATCCGGCCATAGATCGCGCCATATACCCATGTCTTGTAGATCTTTTTCGAGCCTTAATATTGATCCTTTGATTTTTCTTTATCATTTAGCAAGGTATATATGATGTTGTCAAACACATTCTTTTCAATATGCATAACATCTAAATTGTGGCGCAACAAATTAGACTCCCAATATGGAAGATCAAAGAAGATGCTTTTTTTCTCCATTGTTGAGTTCCACCTTCATCATCATTTCTTTGCTTGTTTCGTTTTCTTTTATGATTCAACTCTGCCAGTCTTCCAAATGTGACATTGATATCTTTCACTTGTTGAAAAATATCTGATCCTGATAACTTCTTTGGAGGGGTCCTCTCTTCCACAGTTCCATCAAAACGATGCCTCATCATTCTAAATTTGTGATTTCTAGATAAAAATCGACGGTGGCCAATAAAACACCATTTTCTACTATGAGGAAGTCGACAAGGTTCTGCATCAAAATTACACGAGGGATATGCAAGACTAGTATGTGTGTTCCAACCAGATAAGCTATCAAGTCCAGGAAAGTCGCTAACTGTCCACATAAGAGCCGCTCGCATTCTAAACATTTCATTCTTTGATGAGTCAAAAGTGTCAACATCATCACTCCACAACTCTTTCAACTCCTTAATAAGGGGTTGGAGGTATACATCTATGTTATTTCCTGGTGCACGTGGACCTGGAATAATCATTGAGAGGATGAAATTTGGTTGTTTCATACACAACCATGGAGGAAGGTTATATGGAACCAAAATAACAGGCCAAATGCTATGACTAGTACTCATTGTCCCAAAAGGATTGAAACCATCACTAGCTAGGCCTAATCGGACATTTCGAGGATCAGAAGAAAATTAAGGAAAAGTTGTATCAAACTTCTTCCACGCCTCACCATCTCTAGGATGTCGTAGGGTTCCCATCTTTGTTATCATTCTCTGCATGCCATCTCATATGCTCTGCAATTTTAGAACACATGAACAATCTTTGCAATCTTGGTTTTAAGGGAAAGTATCGCAAAATTTTTGCAGGGTTCTTCTTTTGCTTCTTCTTTTTCTTCTTACTTGTGGTCGGTGTATGATCTGTATTGCTCTTCTTCTCTGGCTTCCATCTAGAAGTGTGACAATACTTACATGTCTCGGCGTTAACATCATCTTCCCAATACAACATGCAATCATTTGGACAAGCATCTATTTTGATATAATCAAGACTCAACTTATTTATGGTTTTCTTGGCCTCATAAAAAGAATCAGGGATCTTTGCAAATTTAAATGCATCCCTAAGTAGATCTATGATCATAGTCATTCCCTTATCACTTAATCCAGACAAACATTTAATGTGATAAAGCTTTAACAAAAATTCCAACTTTGAGTACTTGGAGACTTCATACAATTCTTGACTTCCATCTTTCAGCAACTCAAATAAATTTTTCTTATTTAAAGCAGGCGTATCATGTAACGTTTCTTCTTCTTCCACTACCGGTGATGGACCTACATCAACACCCTCATGCCTTAAGCCCCCGAATGCTTCATTAACCAATAATTCTATTGGATTTTCAGTGGGTGGTGTAGCTTGAGTGGTCTCTATGTTTCTCGAATTAGGAAACACATTCATTTCTCCATGCATAACCCAAGTGACATAATTCTTTGGGAACGGCTTGTTGATCAAATGGTCAAACACTATATTTCTTGTTTGCCACTTTCCAAAACCACATTTAGGACATGGACATTTAATTTTATCTCCTATAGCTCCATTATTAAATGCAAAATCTAGAAATTGATTAAGACCAAGCAAATACTCCGATGTGTTTCTTGGCATTCCAATCCAAGACTTATCCATTGAAAAAATAGATTAACGTGCAAGAATATCACCTATAAGATTTCATGAGTAAGAAAATGAGTGTCCATTAGCATCACTTGATGAGAATAAAAATTAATTAACAGAGAACACAAAATCAAAGAATTCATAACAAAACTCACACTTGATGCCAAATCCTCCCTGTTAATGATGAGACATTGTCTTATAAATGTACTAAAAATGTATAAAATCACATTCAAAATAAACTTGTAATACGACAAAAGTTTCATTCAACAAATCATTAAAATAACCAAAAGAATTAAATGAGGAACTTATAGCTTATGCAATGCAATAAATATGAATCTCGTAACTTTAACTACCTAATTGGAAACAAAAACACATCCAAATCTCATTGTGCGGTGGCAATGTACCAACAAAATTTATCATAATTCCTTTTTTTTTACAGCAAACAAATACAACAACCACTCGAGTTGGTTCATACTTCAAAGTAGAATCAACACTAAGACTTTCCTCCCATAAATTATCAACATATCATATGGTAGAGCCTTCAAAACAGATTTTGAAACAAAAAGTACTTCTAGGTATAGTACTCTACAAACAACCAACACAAAAATGACTATATATAATGAACATTTAATCCTACAATGTTATCATTCCATCTAATATCAACCATAAAAAATAACCGAGATAAATTTTCAACCCTATACATCAAAGTACATCAAAAAAAATGAAAACTCATTTTCAATAGATCATATCACTTTCATCTAGATAAATCTTATTAGCTCAATTGATTAACTATCTAAACTTACATAATTTCAATCAGCCATAATCAAAACATAAGGAGATAAGGTAAAAGTTACAACTCATAAAAAATCTAAGTCAATATAAGTCAAAACAATGGTCTTAAGTTCTAAAACAATCAATAGATTAATGTACTGCAAAATCACAATCACAAGAAAAAATAAGAATGAAAATCTAATTAGTAGATGGAAAACCCATTTGTGAAAATAAGGGAACAAACATCTTCCACAAATGAGAACCCTTCTCAAGAACATACTGCTTCTTCACAGATTTTGAACCCATTTACGAAAATTCCAAATTCAAACGAGCACTAAATATAAATCTATCAAAATTCGAGATACCAATACCAAAATTTGAGATACCCATACAAAATTTGAGATACCCATATGAAAATTCGAGATACCCATATCAAAATTTGAGATACCCATATAAAAATTTGAGATTCTCATATCAAAATTTAATCAAACTCAAAAAATAGCAAGTATTTTGTTGAAAGATAAACATAAAGTTGTGTACCAGATTGTGTGGAGAAGCTGCAAACAAGAACTCTTTGATTGTGAATTGCAAAGGAGAAATATTAAAAAGAGTAGTAAAGAGTCAAAACTTGCGAACTTAAAAGTGAGATAAGTTTTTGAGATATGAAAAATATTTACTAGAAAAATTGAGGGAAACCAAAAGAAAAGCGAGAATGTTGCTGGCGCTACTTTTTTTTGGGATCTGTGAAGGTTTTGAACCCCTGCTAAATATTTATATTTGCATCAGTTTAGAAAACCCCCATTATTTAATATAATTTGCGGGGATTGGAACTGACCTCCGTGTTTAAACTACCGCTATTCAAGCATTTTTTTGTAGTGACTATACACTGAAATTCCAAGAACATTTTGCTTCATAGTCTTTATATACAAAAGAGAAAAGGTACAAGTACCCCCTAGACTATGACCCAAATCTCAGAGACACACCTTAACTAAACTAAGGTCCTATTACCCCTTGAACTCATTATTTTTGTAATTTTGTACACCTTTTTAACTTACGTGGCATCCAAGTATCTCCCACGCGCTTCAATTGCGTGGAGTCACGGAGTGTGCCACGTAGGCAAAAAGGTGCACAAAATTATATATAAAATGAGTTCGGGGGGTAATAGGACCTTAGTTTAGTTAAGGCGTGTCTCTGGAATTTCGGTCATAGTCTAGACGGTTCTTATGCCTTGTCCTTATACAAAATAAGTAGTTCTTGTGCACATTCAATGTCCCATACAATCTGAAAACCACTATGAAAGAGGTACCTGAGAACACTTTTCGTTTGACAGAACCTATATAGTATGCTCTGATGCCAATGTTCAATAAAACACACACCAAAGAAATGAAGTCACACCCCACTTGTGGGACTATACTGGGTACGTTGTTGTTGTCAGTTCTATTATTGATGAATCTGCCTCTGATCTTGAGGGAGAATATAGATAAGGCTTGGGAGGCATTTGCAAAGAGTCTAGTTTCCCTTCTAACATTTCCACAACCTTGCTCATCGATGGTCGATTTGCGGGATCAGTCTGTATACAGCATAAACTCGCTATCACCATCTTTCTTGCACATTCATTCTCCTCTTCATTCATTATCCCGATTAGTTGAAGCTCTTCGTCTAGTTCAATTCGTCGATAGAGCCAATGTGGAAAGTAGATTTCACTCCTACGATCAACTCCAACGTCAACATTTTTTCTTCCTCCAGCCATCTCTAGGACCATCATTCCATAGCTATAGACATCAGACTTGTGAGAGACACCTCCCAAGTTTCTACAAACAATTTCTGTAGCAATATAACCGATAGTCCCTCGTGGACCTAACATTGACACAATACTCTCCTGTTTCATGCACAATTTGGCAAGACCAAAATCAGAGATTTTAGGACATAAGTTGTCATCAAGTAGGATATTATGAGGCTTTATATCAAATGCAATATCCGAGTGTTACAACCACGATGCAAGTACTCCAATCCTCGAGCAATGCCTAGTGCGATTTTGTATAATATTGGCCAACCTAATTGGCGAACACTGTCGGATCTTTCCTCATAGATAAACTTTTCAAGAGATCCATTTGGCATGAACTCATATACAAGAGCTCTTTTGTGACCTTCAAAACAAAATCCCACAAGGCTCACAATGTTGACATGTGATGTTCTGCTAATACTTGCCACTTCGTTAATGAAATCTTCACCACTGCCTTTTAGTTCATTCAGGACCTTTACTGCTACTTCACTCCCGTTACGCAAACTTCCTCTGTATACATTACCAAATCCACCATGGCCTAGTTTGTTTCTGAACCGTCCGGTGATTCTTTTGATGTCTGTATAATTGTATGGATATTTTGGCCGGAAAACTCGCCAGAATCGTCAGTTTCGACAGTAGCAAAAATGAGCTGCTCTTCTTTCCCGTTTGGCTTTTTTCTTTTTTTTCTAATATAATTTTTAACAAATGCAAATAGATATATATTATTCCAAATTAGTTGAAAAAAGAAGGGGGACCAAAGTGGAGATATGAAAACTTAGGGAGGTCTTTTGTATGTGCCAATTAGGGCATGTGGATGATGTCATTAATAGTGGGTATACCACAAATTATTCAAGACTTGTGACTTAATGTCACATTAAGTCTTTAAGGTGGCTATTTTGCCAACTCTCCCGGGTATGTTGGGTGACCTTGAATCGTGTGAAATTTTTTTTTATAATTGATCGTTGCTTGTTGTTGAGTCGAGTTTTGAAATTTGGGTTATGAAGGGCTGCAAAATACTTGTTCGGCGAGCTCAGTCAAGCTCGCCAAGGTGATTCGGCGACTCACCATGTCAGCCCTAGCTCACCCTCTAATTGAGAACTGTTGCCTGCAGTTTTTTGTCACTTTCGGTGAGCTTTGTTAAGCTCACCAAATGAGTTTGGTGAGCTGCCAACTCAATGTGTCGCTCACCATATTTCCCGAAACCAGATCAGTTGCCCTTGTCCCTAACTATAGAAATAAATTGATAAAAAATGAGGAGTTTTGGAAATTAGGATGAAAGAAATTCTTCATTGAAGTTCTATATACATTTATTTTGGAGTTTGAGGAAGAATTGTGATTGTGATCTCTAGAATTCTTGTTGATCTTGTTATTTGAAGTGTTTGGGAAAAAAGAGGAGAAGAGTTTGCCGTAACTTATGAAATCTGATTGTATTTGACTTTAAAGGAAAGTTAATAGTCATGAAATAGGGTTATGGGATGAGGAAAGAACAAAAACACTCCTCCTAGAACGTGAAAAGAAAAGAAAAGAAAAATATTTTTTTGGAGAACGTGCACAGCCCAACAGCTGGAGCCTAGGTCACGTGGCTGTTCACACAGTCGTGGTAGTAGCACTGACCTTACCGCGTGGTCGCGCTAATGACGTCTTCTGTGCGTAGCAGATTCATGCAGACTTTATAGTGCCTAGTAAAATGGGTATAACTTTTAGCACATAACAATAATTTGAGTGTGGTGAATGCGAGAATTGGAGTTGTTGGTAGAGAATTAATTAAGATGGAAGAGCTAAGTGCAATTAAGGGCTTTTTGGTTAAATTAGAACTTATATTTAAGTGGTATACGATGCAAGTAAGTTATAATTTTAGTGATGATATAAGTATTCAAACACTACTAAGAAAATGTGAATTTTCAAAGGACGTTTTGTTGGAAATTAGCTTGTCATTCAGAAATGTTTTCAACTAACTAAACGTATAACACTATGTTGGAGTTTCGAAATTTCCAAACAGTATTTAGTTTAAAGCTTGGAAAATGGTAGAATTTCAACACAATTTACTGAAGTTTCACTAGTATTAATGAATAATTCGTTGAGCTCTATCTTAATGGAAAGGATTGCACATGAAAAAAGTAAAATGAGAGGCTAAAGTGTCGGCAAGTCTATTGCATTAATATGCAACTAAATATTTTTGAAGGGGTGACTACATATTGATCCTTGTTAAACTTTTCCTCCATCTTTTTTTATTTCTTGTCAAGTTTCTGGTATTCATATTGAAGTTCAATAAAATTTGAATTCGCATCGAAAAGTCTCATATTGGGGGTAAATAGTTTCCTAACAAAGGTGAGTCTATACCTAGGAGAAGTTGAACCCAAAAACTTTAATTAAGTAATATTTATCACTTCACTACAACTTTGCGTATGTTACTCGTTTTTGTGTGTCGCCCATCACTAGTCCATTTTAGACAGGAAACTATTACCCTACAAAGTGGAAGTACATGTTCAATTGATAATGATGGTTCCTTTTTTGAGACTTGTGGGGCTGTTTATCTGAGGATCCAGTACTTTTAATAAGATAATAAGTGTCCTAAAAAGTGAAGTGTATCAATTTAGGAAAATAATGTGTTTTTCATTCATGCATTTGGCATTTGTGCAATAAAACATTTCCAATATCCTTGCTTATTCCGCAAAAATTCTGAATAAAAATACATTGTCGTACAACTTAATACAAGCATATTTTATTTGTCATCATCAGAAACATAATCAACATTCAAAAAACATATTCAACACACAAAATATATGTAAAACATCTAACAGCTTGGAACTATAGAAGCAAATTCAAGAAGCTCAGTGTCACGTTCAAATACAGACATATCATGTTCTGTAAGCGTCACAAATGCATCGAGTCCACCACTTTGGTTACCCATCAAGATAGCCAACTTGTTATTTAGTCCATTTGCTATACTCACCTTAGTAGGTTTCCCCCATCCAAAATCGATTTCATGAAGAGCAAATTTCACCAAACTAGTAATTTGATACGCATTAGGACCATTGTCATGATATTCCTGTTTCGATTTTGCTAGTTTGAGTAGCAAGGCCACAAACATGTTGTCATTGATGTTATCTCTTTTGTAAACTAGCTCTTTTGATTTCCTCATTTCAGTGACCAATTTTGATATTGTCATACTTTCTTCGTTATTAGTTATTGATGTTGGACATATGGTAAGAAGATTTCCAATAGCATTTGGAGGCAAACCAACTAGTGCTCGCAAATCAACTGCTTGAACGATTGATGATGGTTGGAAAATCCCTGACTTTGCCTTTGCTGCTCTTACAGCACATTTAAAGATAAGTGCACTCACAACTTCAGTACGTGTCGGATTTTGCACCTCTGATTCAGCAGCAACCGTGTTCTTAAGGTTTAGTAATTTCTCATTAGAGAAAATGTACCTTCTTTGGACACAATCATGTTTGTTTGACATGAATAATGGGGATAGAAAAGGACCACTTGAAGGTGGAGGAAAAACAGATTGTTCAACGTAGTGGAGAGATGGTATGGAGAAATTATTTGGATCGGAAGTTATCTCAGACCAATCACGAAAAAGATTGTAACCACTGCATCCATCTCCAATCTTATGTGATATACACATACTTATAGCTATTCCTCCACAATTAAAATAGGTGAGTTGAACTACAACTAGTCCACCGGTTGTGCAATTTGACCAAGGCAAACCTTGAGGGAATAACAAATCTTCTATAGCTGTATTATGCCAGTTAAGAGTTTCTGATATGAGGCAATCAATTCGAACTTGAACAAATTCAGCCCCCGCGTCATTACAATCAACTGTAGTATTATCTTTAAGCCTTCCGGCATATGGATAATAAATGGACAATATTTTGGATAAAGATTCCTCAAGAAGTTGAGTATTGTTCTTTGAGATAGCATCTTTGGTGTAGAAAAGGGAAAATGGAATGTAAGAGTTGCTGAAAGCTTGATCAATTAAAGAAAGTTTGTGCCATCTTTTAGTAGGACAAGTTGGAGAAGATGGCTTGATGAGCTTCTCAGAGATAATGGATACAAGTGGATGTGCAATTGACTCCATTTTGATATCAAATGCTAATGTTCTTTTTTTTTTTGGCTATGACGTTAGTGCTATATCAAATGCTAATGTTTTTGGCTATGAGTGACGTTAGTGCCTTTAGCACTTTTATAGATGAAAATTAAATTAAATCATACTATGTTTTACTCAGCTAATTCAATGTTGGTAAGCCAAGGAACTACATTTTCTCTGTTGTTGAGCTGGCTTCTTTATTTTTAGTGAGTCAAAGGTGTGCTGATAACAAAAGGAAGTCAAATCTTACACTGCCTCTGCCTCTGCCTCTGGTGTACAAAATTGATTTATTTTTAAATGCTTACTATTAAATTATATTTCTCATCAACAAATGGTACGTGACTTCCGGGGGAGGATTTAGCTAATTGGATAATAAGTTTTGCATGAATTCTGTATTTTTATTGAAAAATCAAATAAAGATATAAAGAAAAATGACTTGGAAATCCACTAAGAAAGTGTGTGATAAAAAAATAAAAAAATAAAAAAAAGACGAAATGGTCTGATGGACCTTGTACTTGTATAAGTTTGTATTGTGAACATTTTTACTTAACCATTTATCAATTGAACTTTTAAACTCAATACGATTCAACATTTAAAATCCTTCTGACCATTGACCAAGCTCATGTGAGAACTTATTATTGAGTTGGAACAAATGCGTGATTTCACACACAGAAAACGCGTAAACCTAGAATTTTTAGACTAAAAGTAACTAAAAGAAAAAGAAAAATAGATAAAAAAGACAAGAAAACATTTAAAATAATTTTTTTTTAACTTCTTCTTCTTCTTCCCCCAGTCCTCCACATTCTTCCCCCTTCTTCCCCAGCTAATCCCCCATTTCTCTCACTTTCTCCCCCTTCCCCACTCCTCTCCAGATATGAGAACCATAATGAGCAATGAAAAAAAATCAGAAAATACACAAATCTGAAGCACTCAAAAATTGTTAGCAATTTCAGTTCTCCATTTTAAAATCTACTATTACCTGTAGTTATATAAACAAAGTGCTAAATATTTTTTATTTGTCTTTTTTTTTTTGGGATAAGGGTATGAAAAATAACCCAACTTTGGTCGAATTTGCTGTTGCGGTACTAAACTTTCATGAGGACCTATTACCTCCCTAGACTATTTAATACCATATTTTAAACATATATATTTGCCCACGTGGACATAAAAAATAATGTAAAATTATAAATAGTAATGTGTCCACG